AACCTAACTGCCTCGACAGGATTCATAAGGGCTCTGAAACTGAACAATAAATGCAACCTTTGGATGAATTTCATTGTAAATAATGATGAGTTAAACTTACGAGCCTTTTTTTACAAGTATTCACTGGTCTATTTAATCTCCATTCAGTATCCTACAACATAAGGAGAGCAAAAGCAAGCAGGAATAGTTTAGCTAAGGTGGTTCGTTACTGGAGTTTTGCAAAATATTTTTATTTAGTTGGTGTTCATTAATTATATTCGTTATATTATTTCTTAAGTTCCTCAGCTGGTGAGCTAGTAACGCATAAAACACCTCAAATCACTGCATGTTAGAGGAAAGAAAAAAAAAAGGAGTAAGCATTTGTTCTGTGGCAGCGTTGGAATGTTTTCAGATTCAGCTGATGATGTTGGCAACTAAAGTTGACTCTTGAAAAGACTCTTGGACTCGCCGATGGGCTCAGAGCTGTTGGACTTCCAGGACAGCATAGATTTACCAGGGTTGCTCTATGTACTTCACACTTAGCTACCAAATGAATGTGATTATTAATTGCAAAAAGAATCAATCTTTCCCCCCGCCCTGCATTTGATCTGTGTAATTAAGAAACGACTCTTCGACAGCGGTGTTGGTTCTGGTGCTCCCTTGTTGATTTGTTAAAGGGGGATCTCTTTTATCCTGTGGCCTCCGAGGGGAATTAGTTGTGTTATTACCAGTGTCAGCTGCAGTGATACGTAGAATTGTCGCTTTCCTAGCTATGACCTTGAATTTTATGAAGCACCTCAAGGTTTACAAACAAGGGTAGAGCTGCTAGACGTGGGTTAATTGAAATGATGAAACTCACTAGAGTGGCTACAAATGAGCTTAAAGCCAATTCAATTAGAAGTGCATCTGTTTCCATTTTCAAATTGCTTTTAAGTCAGCCGCCTGGAATCCTCTCGGCCCGTCTGTGTGGGCCTCTCACCGCACAGATTTGCCATTTGGAAGTGCAGTGAGTGGGTCGGTGTCAACGCCGTGCGCCAGGTTGGAAGCCTATTAATTGCCTGCTTCTCCCACCACGATCCCTTGGGAATATGCAGGGGGACGCAGGAGGATGTTGGAGACCCCGGCTGGCTTTGCCAGGTGTGCAGACAGCAAAGAAACTCCCCCAACCTCCCCAGAGCCCTGCAGCCAGTCCTCGGTCCCTGCGCCCGGTGTGCTCGGTGTGTGCTTTGTGCAGTATAGATGCCATAGGGAAGAGGCTGCATCTGTGGCTCGCAGAGCAACAGGCAGATTGTGCTTAATGAATAAATAATAGTGAAAGCTGCAGTGCAGCCTAGGTGAATGCATTTGTTCATCCAGTCTTTTGGCAATGTCTCAGGCATAAGACAACTGCACTTATCCATACAAAACTCTTATTTGATCATCCAGTTCAGTTTTTCACTGCTGGCTCAGGACTGTTCCCTGTAGGATGATTGAAAGTGCCAGCCAAAATATTCCTGCCTTCGTGTTCCTGTGGCTGCCTCACGTCACATCTGTGTTCACAGTCCTATCTCGGTGACCTTGGAGAACTTGCTGTTGATTCAAGTAGTACAGGGATTTTCCTACCTATTGTTGCTGAAATAGATGAGCTTTGGTTTAGCAGTATTTGAGAATTTAAGGAATTAAAAAAAATTGGTAAAGGAGGCTTTGAGAATTAATATAACGTCACGCAGGAAACAGGCTGAGCAGACTTGGGGAAAGGAGGAGGGATCTCTCCAGGGAAGGTGGTGACATGTCACGAAAAATATTGGTACCAGGTTCTGCAGGGGAGAGGAAAGAGGGATGGGAGGGATGAGTGAGATGTCTAAGGAGGACACGGACAAAACCAGCTGAATAAACACAGGCTTGAGTTAGTGTCGCCAGGATGAGTGGAAATAAGTGATACATTTCTGATGCTTTATTTATTCCATTTGTTGCTGTTCTTGTTGTGGTCAATAGTATTTCTCTGATTTTCACTAGTTACTGTGTTTTATTGTTGTTTCTTCTGGTAATAGCCTGAGTGTGAAACTGTTAATTAATATGTGGTTTTAATAACATATCTACCTTGTTATTCATTTTTGTTTTATTATGCACCATTGCCTATCAAACATTATGAGTTTTGTAGGAATGCCAGTACTAGGATTATTGTAGATATCCAAACTGGACTCTTTCCACCCACTGGCTGACACCGACAAACATTACTTGGCTCCTACAGAGAAAAATAGAAAAATCCTGTTCTCACAGGCAGAGCAAGGATTGGGAACCAGCCGAGTACAACACTATTTACTAGATTTGCCTAATATCCATAAAGACATTATACATCTGAGCAGAGATGATTGGTCACATAAAGATTTTTGCAGGAAATTTTTTACTGAATAAAATCTTTGATCGTGGGGTTCTTGGCAGAGGATTAACCTCAAGAGGTTAATGGAGCAAATAATGGCAACTTGCAAGAAGAGCTTGCAAGGGAGTTATCTTTCCATTTTGGTTCTGTAGCATTGTTCAGTATAGAGAATTTATTTCTTTTGAATAGTAATGTAATTTGTTGCTTTACTAGCCAGCCATTATTTATTTATAAAAAATGTAATTTATAAATGTGGGTGAGGAAACTCAAAGGAGAATAAGCTGGCCTCTCAGCACCAGGAAGTCTGCAGAAATTCTGCTGTTTGCTGAGGGATCCCCACAGCACTTTCTTGGGATGAAGTAGAACAACTCTCTGCAGTTTTGTTTATTATAACCATTCCTTCCTCTTTCTTTCATTTGTTCCTTATATTTCTTTTTTATTGTAGATGTAGGTCTTGCGCTGCCAAAAGGCTTATCCTGTTCTACCTTTGCTGATAAGTTGATAACCCCGCTGTCTAATTCTGCTTTGTAACAAGGCGCTTGCTTTGTTTCTGCTGAGAGTTAATTACCTAGGCTGTCACACAGCCCAAGGAAAAATGATATTTCATATGGTGGTGGAACAGAACTCTTTGGAGAACTGCCTGAGAAATGCTTCTCATAAATCTATCATGAGAAAGCTTCTTTTACTTATCATAATGTATTGCAGATTGCTTTGAGTGGCAACCTAAGTAGCTGGAACAGAATTTTAGTGGGATATTGGAAGTTTCGTTTTGGAAAATATGAGTCTATTTTGAAATATGTGTATATGGGTGCGTGTGTGTATAATCTCGTTGAGATAAAAATACAAAAGATGGAAAGGTGAAATATCTCAAGACATGTAAACACCACTGTAGAGGATTGGATAGGAAATAACTAGGAGATCTAATTCCAGTGGCCTTAGAGCTGCAGATGAAAAGGCAGCTCAACGCGGAGATATACGAGGTAGCAAAGGAAAACAGAGCACAGCCTATAGGGTTAGTTATATAACTTTAGGGAAGAGCTACAGCATGCGTTACTGTGGAAGAATTATTGCAGCTGCCAGACTACCGGGTGGCTGCTCTAAAAGAAAAAGTAACCAAATCCTGGCACAACATAAAGGAGAGAAAGTGTCCTGTAGCAGAAGGAGGAATCACTGTTGTTTCTAGCAGTTTTTTCAAGCCACCACTCACAAAACCAACTTCATTATTTGCTGTATTAGCAGGAGGAGGATAGTTTCCCGGGAGAGAGTGCTGAAGTAGGTCTCAAAGCTTCCCTGAAAATGCCTCCAGCGCGGAGGCGGGAAGGAGGCAGCGTGCGGCCCGGTGCCCGGGCACAGCGCGGCCCTGGGCCTGGTCGGGACGCTGCAGAGCTGGGTCAGAGTCACGTCCCGGTGTTGGTCTTCCCGAGCTGCTCGGGGCTGTTGTCGGTGGGTTTGGGAAGGAAGCTGCTTCTGCCTTTGCTGTGACTGTCACTTTAACAGTGTGTGGGGAAATCCTTCTTAAAAGCCAAACAGCATTAGCTAGTTTGGTGTGCTGTAGGTAAGGAATATACAGGGAGTGTAAGTGGGATGAAAACCAACTAGAAGGAAAGGGCATAAAAATGAGAAATACCAGAAATTTGGTAGGGATGAAATCCAGTTATTTCCATGATCATAATTATCAGAGCTGTCAGAGGGCCTAAGCCTTTTGTAATAATGGCTGATCTTAGCAGCCAGTGACTTTCATGGTCTAACATGAAATCTCTTTTTTGTTTAAATCAAAAGAGTACGTACAGACATGACAACCAGGTAATAGAAACTCAAGGAGAACGAAGGTAGCATAGTAAGTAGGAAGGCACAGGAACTCTTGCACGTTGTTGACCGCATCAGTAACCCTGTGCGTGTTCCGGGCACCTCTGCTCTACCTTTCTGCAAGCGGGAAGCTTAAGGGCAATTGTTGGGCTACAGAAGATCCCTCTTCCACCCACTGCTTCCCAACCCTGCTGGGGGCGGACGTGCCAGTGTGGAGGAATTCTTCTTTTACCTGGCCTCCCTGTTGGGTATTAATCCAGTAGGGTATCAGCCCCTGCGCATCTCTGCTACTCTGATTCCAAGGCAAGGTTTTAGAAAGTTATTTTTGAAACCCATGAGAGGCAAAACAGTTGTGAAGCTCTGTATGAGAAGAGCTTTTCCACGGATTGCTCCCGCGCGGCCTGCAGCTCGGAGGAGCCCGGCGCGTGGAGCCGCTCAGGCTCCGGCGGGAGGCGAGGGGCCTTGCCGGGCCCACGCTCCTCCGTTACCCCCTGAGGCTGTCAGCGTGACCTGCCACCAAATTTGTTCTCAACAAGTTCTTGTAGGGACAGTAATTACCACGTAGTGGCTATGACCAGTTTCACAGCAGTTCCTTTTTGTTAGCGTGTCCTTCACCTTGGTTTTACGACGCCTTTTGAAAAGATCATTGACCTAAAAAGATCATTGACCTAAACCAATAGGAAATTAGTTTCAGTCACTGCTGTTCTTCACAAGTAATATCATAATCTGATGTAAGGAAAGCATTGCAAGTCCACAAGATCTTTCCTCCTCGTATGTTGATTATACCCTTTGCAGTGAGATATCAGAGGATAGAAGTGAACTTGATTAAAGCATCGTTCTTCACTTTTTGCCTTAGGTTACATTGAAGAATCCTGCACGGTGCCGTGCCCGTTTGACTGCAAGTTGAGCGACTGGTCGAGCTGGGCGCCGTGCAGCTCGTCCTGCGGGTTGGGAGTGAGCGTCCGCTCGCGGTGGCTCAAGGAGAAGCCGTACAACGGAGGGCGGCCCTGCCCTAAGCTGGACCTCAAGAACCAGGTGAGCTGCCTTGGGGAGGCAGGAGACACCCCATGGTGCTTGTTGTACCTCCAGGCGTAGTCACAAGGACGCCTCTTTTTGTTTGTTCCAGAAAAAAATTGTACCAAATTCACTCAGTACTGCTATCAAATTGTCCGGTGCCTCCGTTAGTACCAGAGTCAGGCCCTGGCAGGTGTGGTTAGTGGTGCGGCCCATGCAAACTGCTTATAAATTGCAGCAGAAACCTGTGCCTGGATGAAAGCCTGAAGTGGAAACCGAGCACATGGATTGCTCCTCCGAGTGCCGTATCCCTTCAGTCTAGTGTCCACAGCCCACACTTTGCCTGTTACTTAAATCAGTCCTCCTTACGAGCCATCCTTGCTGTTTTTATTATTGCAGTATAAAATCTCAAACCCATCCTGACTACGTGTTATGTCCCATGGATTATACAAAGCTACGATAAAAGGACATCGATTTCAGGGCATTTATCATCCCGGTACTGGTTAACTGTCCCGTTTGGACCATGGTGTTTCTTGATTCATCTGTTGTTTGTGTGGTCAAAATTTGAGCTTTAGAGACTGGAGTTAGAACATATTTTCTCAGCAAACTGGGTTTGTAGGATTTAATTGTCTGCTTTAGTCTTCAGCACAAGTGACCTCTGGGACCTCCCTTTGTAGGAAAGGGTTTTGTAGGCAGTCCGAGAACTTCTTGAGCATTGAGAGGAAGGTGCTTGTGTAACAGCAAAATTTGACCTGAAACACTCTATTTCTTAGATAAGATAGATTTTTTTCTTTCCCAGAGCACTGATAAATAATCCCCCCTCAATGGAGTATAAACATCTGAAAACTCAGATGTCTTGGGATATTTTAAAAAATCTTTATCTCTGCCTGAGACTGTGGTTGCTGTAAGAACACTCATTAAATATGCATTGACTAAAATAGCACCAGGCACATATTCCCTCCAACATTAATCGCTCTATATTCAACATTGAACTATCTCATCAGAGTAAAATAATCTTTAAATGGTTACTCTAAAGAAAAAAAATCAACACATACTTAGATAATCCTATATGTATTTCTACAAAACTAACAGTGATTTGCTGCATTTTACTGGTTAATTCTGTGCGCTAATTAACATAGATGAAGTACTGCTTTGTTTTGCCTATTCTGTTTGTATCAAAATTAGCTGATGATAGGACAGCAAGTGTCATGCACAGCAACTTCATATATATATGTATGTTGATATGTATATATTTATGTTGAATATATATATGAAACTCTGCTGTAGAATATATATAAAAGGTCTTTATTGGTTGTCATACAGAGGTTGGAGTAACGGCTTGCAGGTGTTTTTGCTGGCAGCCCCAGTTACCTACCTTGCAACTGCTCTGCAATAGTCGTGTCCAGGGATGCAGGGCCACTTCTAACACCTGATTCTGAAGTTGCTTAATTTTCCTCACCGTTTATTTTTTTCCTTTGAGGAAGTTGTTAAATTCCTTTTATTGCTTATTACTATTCGAAATCCATAGGTGGTAGCCCGACTTAGAAGCAGCAGGGACCAAGAAAATATAAAACTGTAGTCGAGTGCATGTTGTCCATAGCTCAGCGCTTTTCCTAATAGATCAGGCAGATCACTGAAGGAGAGAAATGAAATCCCACAGCAAGTCGTATGGCAACAATAAGCTCTTTTGTAATGAAAAGATACTGGGGTTTGTTACCCATAGACACAGCAGACTACTTCTATTAAAACTAAACTTATTGCTACACAGTGTTGCCTATTCCCACACATATTATATTTGCTAATTTCCAAACCCTTTCACAAGATACTAAAGGAAAGAAATTGTTTAACACTGGAAATTACTTCTTTGTAAGGTTTATCGGTGCGCGGTCCTTGCAAAACGCTGTGGCTTTTATTAATATAAATGTGCTTGGTGCTTTCTGCCTCTTTTCCAGGAACACAAGGCTTGATCTAAAACCTACTGCATTCATTACAGGGCTTCCTATTGTGGGCTTTAGGAGTGACACCTTAGAACTGCAGTAAGGTCTGGTTTGGGGGATATATATTTTTTTTAAGGATTGAAGCTATTTATAGTTCTTTTATCACAGAATGGATTACCTTTTCACAATTTAGATTTGTAGGACTGGGTTGAATCCTGTATCCTTCAGAGCTTTTAGGCTTTAGGACAAGAAGAAAACATTGTGCAAATTTTCCGTGATCTTCTCGCTTTGGACATCGCACAGTAACCCGGGGGAACAGGAGCAGGTCCTCAAACACGTCCCTTTCCCTGCTGCTCTCCTGCTGCCCACCCCATTTTGCCCACATAGAAGGAAAACCTTGGGATTTGTCCCACTCAAGGTAGTTGGCCCTAGATCCAGTCACTGAAGTACAATGTTTCTGGTTACTCTCACTCTATACCTATATAGGTGTGAGTTTCTTTCTCTTCTTCGGCTCTCCATATGCTTCTGAATCCTGCGTGCAGCTAGGCAGGAGTGTTGTTCTTCACCCGCTGGGCTTCGACTTCCAACACTGGTTCAAATCCCTGGAGTCCTTGGGCACTGCAGGGTACCAAAGGTGCCTGCCCAGGTGGCAGATCAAGTTAGCTGCCCTCTGGTGTTGAGCAGACACCGGACAGATATCATCATTCCACTGCAAGATAGATGGTTGTTTCTTTTCCTCTAGTCTGAGCAGTGTTTAAATCCTTGAGAAAAACTCATTATATGTTAATGTATTACATCCTAATTCTTCTTTATGTGGTCATTTAATCTGGGTAAAATACAGTGCAACACGCACTTTTGTTTGATATCAAACATGACAAAGCTAAATCACCTAAGTGCTAAGATTAGTCCTATGTTGTTTTTTGTATTATATTGTGTTTTATGTAGTTGGTAAAGACATAAGATAACTTAGAACTAAGAATAATCATCTAAGATCCAGATGGATAATATGGATCCAGGTGGAGGATATAAACATGTTATTTTCCTAATATTATATAACTCAGTCTTGTATTATTGTATAACTCAGTCTTGTTTTAACTTGGGTCTTGTTATAACTTAATTACTTTGGAGAATTGTCCATTTCCACTCATTATAATTAGACCCTGCATCACTTTCTGTCTTTTTCTCATTAAGTCAAATCGTCTTTTAACTCTTTTTTGAAAGGTGTTCACTAAGTTCTTGTATTTCTTTTTTTGAACACCTTTCAGAGATTTGACTTAAATTTACGTACAAAGGGTAGAACTTAAAAATTTTTGTAGCAGTTCTTTCTTACTGCTTCCCTTCATTTCCAGGGCCTTGCCAATAGAGGTACTTTAATATTGCTGCTTCAGAGAGGCAGGCAAATTACCCAAGCAAAACCATTTATTTGACCAATATAAATAATTTGAATCTCATAAACTGCATCATAAAAGACTCTCTTCCTAGAAGTAGTTTAATCAGTGCCTTGCAGTTTGCTTGTGTATTCAGGACAGAACTTTTTAGCATAAATTTAATTCTATACCGGGATAATAACCTGTCCTCTTACTGCACGATATTCCACGGAGGGAGCAGGCCGAGTCGAGGGATCCCTTTCCATATGGGCTGCCGTGTCTCGAAGCCCCTTTCCCATTCCCGACCGCCTCCTGCCCCGGATGCAGGGAGCAAACCCTGCTGCGATCCAGCTCATCACTCCTCTCACTACTGTGCCAGTGGGAAACGCTGAGCCCTGCCGGCTCCTCAGTGCCAGTTTTCCTGGTAGGAACGGTTTGCATAGGTGGTTTGCACATGGTATTCTAATACAGTCATTCGATTTGATACAGCTGTATTAGCCATTACCTTCCTTTGTGTTATTTCTCCATGAAAGGTGAATTACATTATTTTGGGGGGGAAATACCAGTATTTTAACCTCAATTCCATGCAGTATGTTGAAATACTTGCACCTCTGCATGAAAATTGTTCCAGAGTTAGCACTAACTACATTTTTTTGCCACCTCTATTAAAGGAAAAGGGCTGAGTAGTGCTTATGTAGGGATGGGATCGCCCCTGAGCAGCCGGTTGGATTTCGGGGCCAGCTGGCAGATGTTCGGGGCTGTGCGGTGCATGTTAAAAGAGGGGTAGCATTTACATTCTTCTCCTTTGCTCTTATTTAAATGCACTTACACAGCATGCAGCTGCTAAGCTATTTAATAGGTAGTTCTACATGATGAAAGGTTAAATATGAGTTATAGGGTTTTATTATGTGAATATTCTTTTATGGGTTTTTAGGATTACTACAAGAAAATGCGTCTTATTTTAAAGACCCATGAATTCCAAGGATTGTCTATTTATTGATTGCTCTAATATATATTCTTGTCAAGATTTTTCCTCCTTCTCCTCCCTTCCCTTCTCTCTCTGACCCAGTCCTGATAAAGGACAAATATCACAGCAAATAATTTATTCTCTTCATATATACAGTATATTTTTAAGCACATATTTTTTAAAGACTTCAGAGTATTTGTAAAGGCAGGCAGAGCAGGAAAAAATCCAAGCTATTTGAAATTTAGACTTACTGCATCTTTTAAAATAAACATCTTATTGTTAATGACATCTTCAGATGTTCCCTCTAAAAATGACAGCTCACATCAAAATATAAGAAATACAGAAGAAGAAAAAGCCTTTCCTGAAATCTCATACAAAATTGAAAAAAAAAGGTAGAGGAGAGAACTGTTACAAAGCAGACCTCTGGGAAGCAAGCGTGAAGATGTATGAATTTCTGGTAATCTTTTCACAGAAAACGACTGGTTTAGTTCTACTCATGCTTCAGAGAAAACAGGGGTTTTTTTTTTGATGAGCACTGAATGTGTCAAATTTCATTTCAAAAGTGAAAAATCAGACAAAATTATAGGCTTTGAAAACTCACGAGTAGAATGTAAAAGATTGAATGGGCTTGAATACTAATGTTAATTGTAGAAATTGCCATCTTCTGCCAAAGAAACCTGGGCTTGGGCTAGGTGTCAGGAGGAAGGGTGCAGATTATTTTTCTCTTTCCGAACAGTTATTTTAGGAAAG